TACAGCACAATAGACTTAAATATGTATTAAAAAATGTTAAAATTAATGTGTTGTAACCACCACTATCTTTAGGAAGCATTATGAGAGAATTGTAACCATCACATTATAATGATTGTCTTTATTTAGATTTATGATAGAGTTGTATCATTAAAATTGAAAGAACCAAAGAGTCCTCATCTTGATTAGCAACCTATTTGTATTCTCTATCAGTTTCATTCAAGCCTATATAAAGGCTTTGTAATGCTAAGATTAATAGTAAGAAGTGTTTGGTGAATTAAAAAAAAAAGCAGAGTTTTTCAATGGTCATCCACCAGTAGAAGTATAGTACAAAAAGTGACGAAAAGTAGTTTTCTCTGCAGAATCCTGCAACACTATAATTTTTCAAAGACCACCTCTAGAATACCACCAACAGAGTGGTATCAGAGCTGCAGATCCTTGCAGCTACAGCAAAAATAACAACAATTATGGCTTCCACAAACAACCCTTCCGTAACTTACAGCAATGTCAAAGTTCCTCTATTTAAAGGAGAGAACTATGATTTTTGGAATGTTAAAATGGAGACTCTATTCACATCTTTGGATGTTCTAGAGTATGTCAAAAACGGCTATGAAGAACCGGCGCCAACAGAGGCTGAAAAATCAAAAGAAAAGGCTGAAGAATCAAGCCAACGGCTTGAAGAATTGGAGAAGAAGAAGAAGATCACATATGCTGGAGTTCTCAGGATGATTCAAAGAGGGGTCTCTCTATCCATCTTCCCAAGGATTATGAGAGCTAAAACATCGAAAGAAGCCTGGAGTATCCTACAACAAGAGTTCGAAGGAGACTCAAAGGTGCGAACAGTGAACCTTCAATCTCTTAAGAGAGATTATGAAAATGAAAGGATGAAGGAGAACGAGAGCCTGAACGAATACTTCAACAGACTCTCCGAGTTGGTGAATCAGATGAAGTCACATGGTGATACGATAGAAGATCGCAGAATTGTTGACAAAATTCTGATCAGTTTGACAGCAAAATTTGACCCAATGGTGGGGGTAATAGAAGAAAGCAAGGATCTATCAACCTTGACTGTTCAAGGGTTGATGGGGTCTTTGAGATCCTACGAGCAAAGGATGTTACGACATTCTGAAAAATCAATCGAGAGTGCCTTTCAATATAAACTCAACATTCAGCCCAACAATGGTGAAAATAAGCCCCAAATACAAACTAGAGGTGAGTCTTCTAAAGGTGGAAGATTTGGAAGAGGCAGAGGCAGAGGTCGAAACTCACATGGAAGATCTGGAAGAAGCGCAAATGGCGGAAGATGGAATGGAGCATCAAACAAATGGTGCAAAATTTGTAACAGTGGTACTCATGACGAGAAGGATTGTTGGAACAAAGGTAAACTGCAATGCCACAATTGCAAGAGATTCGGGCACCTTCAAAAGGATTGTCGTCTTGCAAATCAACAACATGCTTCGTACGCAGAAGGAGAATCTGATGAAGGAAATTTATTTTTTGCTTGTCAAAAAGCATTGCATGAAGAAGGTAAAAATGTATGGTATTTGGACAGAGGTTGTAGCAACCATATGATCGGACAGAAGGAAGCATTTATAAACATTGATTCTTCATTTAGCTCAAAAGTTAAATTGGGCAATGGAGAACATGTCGTAGTGAAAGGGAAAGGAAGCATTGGAGTCACCACAAAGCAAGGAAGCAAAGTCATACATGACACGCTCTGTGTACCGGAATTAGACGAAAATTTTATTAGCATTGGACAACTTCTGGAGCACGCCTATTCTCTAAACTTTGAGAATAACGAGTGCAGAATTTTTGACTCAAAGAAGAAGTGTTGTCGTTGTGAAGATGACTAGCAACAGGAGCTTTCCACTATCTTTTAACTATGAGAAAAATGTAAGCATGATGGCCAGAGAAGAGAATGACTCGTGTTTATAGCACAGGAGACTTGGACATTTGAATTACAAAATCCTCAAGTTACTCTATCAAAAGAAGATGGTGTATGGGCTGCCAAGAATCGAAGAAAAATTTGGTGTGTGCGAAGGTTGTGTGCTTGGCAAACACCACCGGCAACCATTTCCAAAGGAAGGTGCATGGAGAGCTAAACAAGTGTTGGAACTTGTACACACAGATGTGTGTGGCCCTATGAATACTTTGTCTCATGGCAAAAATAGGTACTTTATCTTGTTTATTGACGACTTTACCCGCATGACTTGGGTATATTTCATGAGACAAAAATCTGAAGCGTTTGTAATCTTTAAGAAATTTAAAGCATTAATCGAAAAACAAAGTGGCAGATTTATAAAGATGCTGAGAAGTGATCGAGGGAAGGACTACACCTCAAATGAATTTCATAAATTTTGTGAAGATGAAGGTGTTTAAAGACAACTCACTGTTGGATATACACCTCAGCAAAATGGTGTATCTGAAAGAAAGAACCAAACCGTGATGGAGATGGAGAAGTCTATGCTACTTGAGAAAGGTTTGCCTAAAACCTTTTGGCCCGAGGCCGTTAACACTGTTGTGTATTTGATGAACAGGTGTCCAACAAAGGCCGTGTGGAAAAAGACTCCATTTGAAGCCTGGAGTGGAAGAACACCGTCGGTGAACCATCTTAAAATATTTGGGTGTGTTTGCTATGCTCAAATTCCTAAACAAAAGAGGACAAATCTAGAAGAAACAAGTGAAAGATGTGTCTTTATTGGCTATAGTTCCATGTCAAAGGGCTATAGACTTTACAACTTGAAGACAAACAAGGTGATCATTAGCCGGGATGTTGTATTTGATGAGAACGCTTCTTGGAATTGGGAAGAAGACAAAACGAAGGAGAAGACAGTCCCTGCAATCATATTACAACAACAAAACCCAACAGTTGATAATGAGCAACCAGCTCCATGTACACCAAGTTCCTCATCCTCTCCAAGTTCACAAATTTCAAGTTCATCATCTCCCAGCTCAACTCCAATAAAATTGAAGGACTTGAATGATATTTATGTAAGATGCAACTATTGTGTTGTGGAACCAGAAAATTTTGATGAAGCAATCAAAGAAGATGCTTGGAGGAATGCGATGCAAGAAGAAATAAATGCCATTGAGAAAAACAAAACATGGCAGTTAGTTGAAAAGCCAAATGACAAAGAAGCTATTGGAGTAAAGTGGGTGTACAAATTGAAGCATAATCCAGATGGGTCAATTCAAAGAGCCAAGGCTAGATTGGTAGTAAAAGGCTATGCAAAACAGCCTGGAATTGACTATAGTGAAACTTTTGCCCCAGTTGCAAGATTGGATACTGTACGAACAGTTATTGCATTAGCAGCTCAGAAAGGGTGGAACCTGTACCAACTTGATGTGAAGTCAGCTTTCCTGAATGGAGAATTAAAAGAAGAGGTATATGTACAGCAACCTCAAGGATTTGTGACTAAAGGCCAAGAAGAAAAAGTTTACAAGTTGAAGAAAGCACTCTATGGGTTGAAACAAGCCCCGAGAGCATGGTATAATGAAATTGATAGCTACTTCATTCAACAAGGATTTGAAAGAAGTCAAAGTGAGCATAACTTGTATGTGAAGCATCAAGGTAAAGATGATATCCTTCTTGTTGCCCTTTATGTTGATGATTTGGTGTATACGGGTAACAACAAGAAAATGGTTGAAAATTTTAAAATAGAAATGATGAAAAAATATGAGATGAGTGATCTTGGCTTGCTGCATCATTTTCTTGGTATTGAGGTTTACCAAGATGAATATGGAGTTTTTATTTGTCAAAAGAGATATGTTGAAATTATTTTGAAAAAGTTTGGTATGAATGGCTGCAAACTTGTTGATATTCCTTTATTGGTGAATGAAAAATTAAATAAGGAAGATGGTGGAAGATTAGTAGATGCAAGTATGTATAGAAGTTTGGTTGGAAGCTTGTTTCATCTTACAGCTTCAAGGCTCGATTTAATGTTTGCTGCTAGTTTACTCTCAAGGTTTATGAGTAAACCGAGTCACTTACAACTTGGAGCAGCAAAAAGAGTTCTAAGGTATGTCATGGGAACCATGGAACATGGAATCAGGTTTGAAAAGAATTTTAAACTCGAAGTTAAAGGCTACTGTGACAGTGATTGGGCTGGAAGTGTTGATGACATGAAAAGCACTTTCGGTTATGTGTTCAGCCTGGGTTCAGGAGTAATTTCTTGGTGTTCGAAGAAACAAGATACTGTAGCGCAATCTTCAGCTGAAGCAGAATATTTGGCAGCTGGTTTGGCTACACAACAATCATTGTGGTTGATAAGAATACTTGAAGATATCGGAGAAAAGCAAGAAGAAAGTATGCTGCTTCACTGTGACAATAAATCAGCAATAGCCATGGCGAAGAATCGACTTTTCCACAGTCGAACAAGACATATTAATATAAAGCACCACTTCATTCGAAGTGTGATCGAAGATGGTGATGTGCAGTTAGTGTTCTGCAATTCACAAGAGCAGCTTGCAGACCTTTTTACTAAAGCACTACCAAGAGGAAGATTTCAGCAACTTAGAGAAGCAATGGGAGTTAAAGAGCAACACATTAAGGGGGAGTGTTAAAATTAATGTGTTGTAACCACCATTATCTTTAGGAAGCATTATGAGAGAATTGTAACCATCACATTATAATGATTGTCTTTATTTAGATTTATGGTAGAGTTATATCATTAAAATTGAGAGAACCAAAGAATCATCATCTTGATTAGCAACCTATTTGTATTCTCTATCAGTTTCATTCAAGCTTATATAAAGGCTTTGTAATGCTAATATTAATAGTAATAAGTGTTTGGTAAATTAAAAAAAAAAACAGAGTTTTTCAATGGTCATCCACCAGTATAAGTATAGTACAAAAAGTGATGAAAAGTAGTTTTCTCTGCAGAATCCAGCAACACTATAATTTTTCACATACCACCTCTAGAATACCGCCAAAACAAAACTAAGAAATATAATAGTCATAACAGAAAGTTATAATCCATGTCATGTCCCAATGTAATCAATGCCTAAATGTAATATTTTGATTTTAATAGAAGAGATCTACAAGATATGAATACATTGCTAGAATGGCAAACATCTGATCCGCATGTTCTCTTAACAAAGAGACAAACTCTATTGGCAAAAGAGATGAACATACAGGAAAGTGTATGAAAGATAACTATTTTACAACAAAAAAAGTCATGGCTTAAAGGCACACGCCGAAAGACTTTATCAATCTCCATATTTGTAAGGCCCTTCTTCTCCAAAAATGATTGCCGGTACATGACGGGCGAACCTTAAACCTTTGAGTGCGACAGAAATTCCGCAACGTTCTGAACTTATACTTCTGGCACTGATTCTGAGTTCACAAAAACTGATGTAGTTGAAGAACCATTTATGAATTTGTACAGGCATAAACCCAATTGACTCACTTATTAGAAGAACCATTTATGAAATTTACTACTGAGAAGTCATTAAACCGGAAATCACACCAAAACCACGATTTTCAGTGGATCTTGGAGTCGGTGGTGGAGGGGTTTTAGAAAACGGTTAAGAAGGTTGAGGGTTTTTCGAAGCAGGTTGTGAAGTTTGAATCTTCATCTTCTTCTGACTTTCGAGTTCAGGAGTTCGGAGGAGAAAGGGAAGAACTCAGATCTAGGGTTTTCTTACATCAGTGTTGAAAAAGATGAAGTATGTCAGGAGCCGAGAGAGAGAGAGAGGAGAGTGTGACAATTTGGTTTGAGAGAGAGGTTAGAAAGTGAGAAATGAAAGGGTTTGTAGTGTAGTGAAAAGGAGAGGAATACGTTATTACACAGCCTACGTTGTTTTACCCGGGTAATGAATGATAACATGAAATTTCAAAATTTGAGTGACATTTGGCAAAATAGGAACTATGATTGGTTAATTTATGTTATTTAGTCTATTACAAAAAAAAGGTTTTTAGTAGTGTAATTTTTTTTTGAAAGGGTAAGAATGAAAGTTCGTAAGCATCTTTCATTCTTAGTTAGGTAGTAGAAAAGTCATTTTTGCTCTAAACTTTTAAAATTATAAATATTTTATTCATGCATCATTTCAACTTGATGATACTATAAAATTAGTCTATATTTTCTCTTCATATTCAACCTCCAATTTATGCATACACACTGACATTCTATTGTAATGATCTTTTATTGTGGTACCATCTAGACGAAGTTTGATAACATCCAATTAGGTTCTTGTGTAGCCGAGAATATTGGGTTGAGAATCGTAGGAGTCTTCATCTGGAAAAACCGCGGGTTTGTTCTCCAAGATCATTGAAAGATTTGGGGGTTTTCGTGCAAGACATTCAAGAGAGGATTGTGGTCTAGTGAAAGCCTTTGAAGATAAATAACGTAAATGATCCTTTGGAGATAAAGAATACAAAGGAAGTAGCGCGAGAACAACGAATCAAATTGAAGTCTTGTATTGCAATAGGTACAATTGGTGGTGCGCGAAAGCTTTAGAGATAAAGTATGCAAAGGAATAGCAAGATCAAGATATCCAATTAGTAGCTATTGTATCTTGGTCTTTCTCAAGATCAAAAGAAGAGAAGGGGTCGAATCAACAACAAACATTAGGATTTGCGGAGTTACTCTTGAACACTTCTCTTGTATCAACTTTTTGCATAGTAAAAATTATCCTAATTCCAATGGAATTAGGCGCAGACGTACCCACACGCGATGATGAAATTGGGGAACTTTGAAGACAAATCCTTGTGTCTCTTTTCTTATCACTTTCACTTGCTTTGATTTTCATCAATCAATTTGTCAAATAGCATTGCGTTATCAATTGATTCGTAAAAAAAAATTCAGAATGTTTTTTATTTCAATCAAGTGTTGATATTGCTTATAATCACTTTTGATTATAAGTGCTTTTTGTATCACTACAACTTAAAGGAAATTTCTGAAAACTTAATTGCACATCAAGTGTTCGACAAATTGTTTTGCTATCTCTTTTGACAAATTGCCATTGGAAATAACATTACTAGTAACTTGCTACAAACGTTAAATAAGTTGTAAATTGATTGAAGCTATTAATTCCAATTATCAATTTCATTCCATATTGAATTTGTTATATTTGCATATCTGAGGTTCCAGTAATGGTTTGTATACACGACTTATTTCGAAAAGCTTCTGAACAAACTCTTTGTCAAATAAATTTTGAAAACCAGAATTTTTCTGGAAATTTTAATTGGGTATCTATTCACCCCCCCCCCCCCTCTATATTTGTTGTCGTCGTCTAACATCATGTGCCTACTTCTTATTATCTTCCTTATTCCATTGAGGTTTCGACTTTGGTGTAACAACACCTTCAACCTCATATATTACCAGTGTTGGACCATTTTAAATGGCTTCCCACACACCTTTATCATATGAGTTGACATGAATTTACATACAAGCTTTCCAATAACTATAGTTTTCTACCGTGAAAATTGGGACTCTTTTATAATCCCTTTTAGGTTCGTACACCAATTTCTAATAAGTTTTGAAGCCGGAATGAATCGGGATCTTGATGCCACTTGTTAGATGATGAAGCCTTATCTAGAAGGGGGTGAGTAGATCACCAAGCCAAAAAATACAAATAAAATTTTGGTTTTAAAAGCAATTGAAAAGAGTGTAAGCAAAAGGTTTTGATATAGATCGAAAACGCCATCTACACGAACCTAGCTATTGGAACTCGGATATGAAAAATAAAGTGCTATATGGAATGAACAAAATAATAATGAATTTATAAACTTCAATCATGTAACACATTATTAATTGTTTATAGCAAGTTACTAGCAAAGATATTTCCAATGGTAATTATCAAAAATAATGAACTATGCAATTTTTCGAACACTTGGTATGCCACCAAATTTTTAAAATTTTCCTTTGAGTTGTGTTGATATAAAAATGCAATTATAATTAAAATTAATTATAAGCAAATCAACACCCAATTCAAAAGAAAAACAGCCATAGAAAAATTCTTATGAGTCGACCGTTTAATCAATGATATTTGACAAATTGCTTAACAAAAAATAAAGCAAGTAAAGTGATAAGAAAAAGAGACACGAGGATTTGTTTAGGAAGTTCACCAATCGTCCTCGATATGGCTACGTCTCCCCCCAATTCCAATTTTGGAATTAAGATAAATTCTTACTATGTAAAAAGTCATTAGAAGAGAAGTGTTCCAAGAGTAACCCTCCAAACCCTAATCGTTTATTGATGATTCAACTTATTATCTTCTTTTAATCTTGAGCAAGACCAAGACACATTGTGATACGGTAGGAGAACTGACTTGGGTGTTTTTTCGTTTTGTCGCAAATGTTGCGGTTAGCAAGAGTCGCCACCGACTTTTCTTTTATCCAAAAGGAAAGGTGAAAAAGCACAGGAAAGACCTTTGAGATTATTTCTTGTGTTCGGGGGGTAGATTATGAAAAGGGAAGGTATTAGCACCCTTTTCATCCATGGTTTTCCATGGGCTCTTAGTTACTTACTAGATCAACTTGCTTTTGTTTGAAATTGTGCTTTGTGTGGTTTTTTGAAAGTATTTTGTAAAGAGGCCATTGTTTAGGAAAACTTTGTAATGATTCCCGTTCGTAAGAATGTATACAAAGATGTTGATCTTTTGAAAATGTTTCCAGGTTTGTAAGATGTTTTGAAAGCATAGGTGTTTATTTTGAAAATAGTAAGGATGTTTTGTTTTGAAAGTGAGCAAGTAAATAGGAGCCTTCTACCTACTTAAAAGTCTTTCATGTTCATTTCCTCTTTCTTTTGACATTGTTATCTTACCATTGATTTGGTAAGTAACCCTATCTTTGGATGTAAACGGGACGGACGTAGGTCATCGTATAACCATGATTAGCAATGTTGCAAGGTATCTTAGCATTTTTCTTCAGGGACTAAGATTATTTGAAAGGCAACATGGACAGAGTCATCGAGGGTCTATGATCTTATATTTTGCTTGTTTTTGCTAAGATACCTCACACGCGTAACATGATCATTTTTAAGATAACCAAGTGGATTTACCCTAGGCGTGCTTGTGTGCAAGTGTATTATTTTTCATGCTTGGTTTTGTCTTTGATTAGGGTTTTCTAATTGGTTGGTTTTATTCTTTACATACACACCCTAATTACTAGCATTTGTATATAAAGCGATAAATTGCATAATTTAAAATTACTACGCTATTACAATACTTGTGTGAGAGGGGTGTACAAATTATAAATGGGGATTGCTAGAAAATAAACCTAATTATCTATTACAACCATATTGAATTTGTACAAGAATTGAATAAATAATGTACAAAATGAATAAATATAAAAGAATGTAAATGTAAAGAAAATGGATGTTTATGTTTGGATTTTTTAGGGAAAAGGGGTTTTGTTTTAACCTAATTAACTAAAAGAAAAATAATTAAGTAAATTAGTAAAAGGTAAAACCTAAATTTACTAGGAAAAGAATTTAAATAAAACCCTAATCTATTAATTGATTAAAAAAGAAAATAAGTTTATAAGAAGAATAGTTTTGGTATTTTTGTCTTAAAAATAATTTATAGTATTATAAAATATTTTTGGTCTTTTTATATATCAAAATAATATATTTAAATTGTGTAAAAGAAAATAAGTAAAAAAAAAGTAATTTCTAATTAAATTTATAAATCAATTAGTGAAATAAATAAAGTATGATTAAATAAAATAATTTTTTGTGTAAAAAAATAAATAAACTATATCAAAATATAAATCTAATGTTTTTATATTTTTTCTGATTTTTTTTTAGTATTTAGATAAAATATTTAAGAAAATAAAATAAATAAAAATAAAAAAGAAAAGAAAATGGGCCAGGGTGTGAATAGCCAGCAAGGGGGTCAGAAGTGAAAAAAAAAACATAAGGCCCAAGGATGAGGTCCAGCGCTGCCAAAAAAGTCAGAATGTGTGAAAAATATGGGGAAAAATCGAAAAGGATACCACTAGGGCTCAAACCCAGGTCCCTATAGTCACGGGCGCGCGCTTCTACCACTGGAGTGGCTACACATCTGTTTATTAATATCAAACCATAAATACATATGGTAAACACGTTTCTGAGGCCAACTTCATCTTCAACCTCACGTCCAGCCTGAACCTCTGTATCTTGTTCAATTCTCAACAAAAATGAAAAATGTAAACAGGAAACTTGTAGCAAATTTTCTCACGATTTCAGAAATGCAAAGCAATAAAATTATAAATCAAAGATAAGGATGAATTTTAATGGCCCTAATCTGAACCTTAAAAATTCAGAAACTTCAATCTTAA